TTTGATCCGCTCCATTTCGATTGCAACACAGTGTGAATAGCGAGATAACTGGAGCGGATCAAATTTTTAATTAGATTGGGATACTACGCACAGGTCTGTTTCTAGTTTAATTTTACCCTTAATGAGTAAATACATTTTTGCTACTTGGTTTTTTCATAAATCTAAAGTTAATGGGTCTATGGTTTTGTTTACAAACTGATCTAAAAACGAAAAGAAGGTAAATTTGGGCCATTCCCATTATTGACCGAGTGTAGTATACCGGTAGATCTAAAGATAGAACAGGGTTTTCCACATAGCGAAATATTTAATACGTAATATATCATGGAATGAGAAGATCATAACAAAGAGATGGTGAGATATTAATTTTTAAGATGATTTGATCACGTGTATAATTTATATTATTATCAATGGATTCTATAGTAAGCATTTATGAAATGTTAATACCTAAAAAATTGCTACAGGGCAAAGGTTTCAGATGATGGATTGTACTTCCTTGTTTAGAAAAAACCCAGTAGATCTCACGTGGTCATGTTAAACAATTTATTATCATTCTTTTATCTTTTGGGTATTTTGATTTCATTAGTACTATCAAAATGACTTATATATAGTCTTTGATAAATATACCCCATTTTGATTGGGGGTGAGTGAAGATGGGTGTGTGTCGTTTTGTTTCTTTTTATAAATTATCTCCACTCTGGCTCTTCCATTTCTCCAAATACTGGTTCCTATACATACATGAACTATTTTTTGGTTATTTAGAAAGGTGCCATTTAGTTACAGGCATTCGTGGTGAAAATGAGTAAGGGTTAATTGTTCCGTATACAAATCAAGTGTTTGTGCATTTAGTGCAGTAATATAAATCCTTTCCGTTGTAGCTGTCGTGTCAATCAAACTTCATTTGAGAGTATATTTTCCTTATGTCAGCTCAAATGTAACCAAAGTTTCTCTCTTGGTCCACAGGAGATAAAAGTTTCTACAATAGAATAGAGTACTCCTTCTACAAAACATCTTTTAAAAGGAAATGTTTTTGATCAAAAGTCAAGATCAGAAGAAAAAAAACCCAGGCACCAGACGTTATTTATTTTTCTTTTAATAAAATGAATATACCCATACCAAATAATAAACAAGTTTAATATTAGGTAAGTATACATCCTTCTTATCAAAAGAAAAATAAGTGACGGGTTGGGTATATTCTTTTTATTAAAAGAAAAATTATGAAGTAACGTCAGGTGCCTGTGGAAAAAAAAAATTGTCAACAAGGTCATAAATCCTCAATGAATAACTTCTTGTCCAAGGTGAAACCCCCTCAACTTCAGCACAGTTAAATTACACTTTCAACAATAAATTTATATTTATTTATTTCATCGTTTTCAATAAAGTTGATCAAATCGTCTGGAAAGGTCAAAATAACTTTGTTCTTTACCTTGTATGGAGCTTAAGTTATCTTCCTTGGCCTAACCATTATTAACCCTTATTAAAAACAAGCATTTTTGTAAGACACGCCAAATTAATATATACACTGTATTTGAATATTTGTCCCTATCTTTAATTATATTTGTACCTATCTTCAGGTCAATTTTATTTACCTTGAATCAATTTTACCTATCATGAAATATTTAAAGAAAGGTTAAATTGAATTACAACTATTTCTGATTTATCTTAAGAAAAGTACAAATGATTTAAAGATAATTGCAATATAATTGAACCTATTTTTAATTATTTAGATACTGATAATAACAAATAATGCCTATAAAATTTAATACTTTATACATTTTACTTAGATGTAAATTCTCTTTAATAAAATACGATTATTAATACGCTCCTTTAAAAAAAGATATATTGATAACTCACCCGAGCTGGGTATTCGGCTTTGATTTATTACCTTGTATTATCCTTTCAGATCGTTCAGATGGGTTGATGAACGTCTCATAATGGACCCACGAGGTCTTGGTCCTCCTGCTCGACATGTCTCCCCTGTCACAGTAACATACAGTACAGTTACAGCAGCAGGAAGTCAGCAAGGTATGATCTTAGGTCTCCGTTTAAGGTACATATATATTTCAATGGGCTAGTCTAAAGAAAATCATACCTGATGGCATAGACGTTCTCATGCATCAATCTATCATATAGCTTTTAAGAGAATAGTTTGTGTCTCTGTCTTTCTATTATCTTTAAAACCATTTTTCAATAAGGTAAAAGGACTTCAAATTTGTTCCTTTAAAAGCATAATTTCTTTCAGGTGGAGATAATCTGTTATCTTTATAAAACCGCAACTTAAAACATCTTTCAAACATTTCAAGTTTATTTCCCAGTCAGCAAAGGGCTACTTTATAAGCATATCAGCTGTAGATATTTTATTTTTTGAGTGGCTCCTTCCCAATGAAGCGTAAAATAGTGTTCATTTCAATAATACAATGGTTGATTTACTTACATTTAAACTTACTATAGATGATTATTTGTACAGATATACATGTAAATTTGAGAAATTAAATGTCTTTATTTGTTGATATAAGATTTAACAATTCATGGATAAATGATCTTTCTCTGATTTACATAAATGTTGATGTATTCTAGGACCAGTAGTGCCTCACCCCCAGAACCGTGGCGGTCAGCCTCATTGGAGTTTCCCTCCAGTAAATTTAATCCAGCAGCAAGGGCAGACAACTGCACAGATAACTTCTCAGCAACAATGGCAACAACAACAATTCTCAATGGGTGGACAAAATCAGAGATTGTCACAAAATCAAAATGAAGTCTATATGCCATCACAGCAACACAACTTTAAACCACATATGATAAAATTTTCAAGTACAATGACTTTTTAATAATTTTTTATAAGTTTAAGGATTCTAGAGTCACATGATTTTATTTGGTTTCCAGTGCATTTGTGACAGTAGAGCCAAGCATTATCATATATATCGTATTAAACGTACAATAACGTAGAAAGCAGCATCTAAAAATTATGATGAAATAAAAAAAAATCTTGGGGGTTAAATTTTCGTTGTTTTCAGGGTGTGAAGAGACCCACAAATTCATGTCCACTGCGAAATGTAAAATGTGACATATATACACTGTAACTACTCCATTGTTCTACGTCCAACAAAATGTAAAATGTGACATACATAACTACTCAATTTTTCTACATCCACGAAATTAAAGCTCAACGAACCAAAAGTCCCCTCCCAAACCCCCCTACCACTACCAAAACACGAAAATTTGTCCCCATGAAAATATGTCATTTTAGAGTGTTAAGAACACTCCCTTTCTCGTTTTATGTAAAGGGCAAGAATTAAGCCCATCTGAAGAGAAATTGTTATTTTTGCTTAGAGATGAGTGTAAAGGAACAGTTTTGTAGTCGTTATTCTATGACTGTTGTAGAAGTGTTTTCATAAATTTGACTTAGGGGCATATACGAGGGTTGATCCAAAAGTTCGTGGAATTTCTTAATATTTTTTTCATTTTTAAGTGAAATTGGCTGAAAATTACAAATGAGAATATAGACACTTGTTAAATATTTTAAATAAAAAATATTTTAAATATTTTTGATAGTATCTCTGTGGCAGTTGCCATAGAAACGGATGTTTGAAAATGCGGGGGAGACATTGACGCGTTTAATTCTTAATACGTGAAATGAGAATTAAACCAATCTATGTAATATAAAAAACGAAAATTATGTCATTATTAAGATTGCTTGTTCATTTATAAACCTTCGTGTGAGAGTTTAGCTGATTTTACTGCATATTTAGTTAATTAGTTGGTGATTTATTGTTCATCTTCAAGTTGTTAGACAACGTCAAATTCGGTCAAGTCATAAGTTCTGTGATGATCCCGGGATCACTTTATCTTTAAATTGTAAATTATTGACATAAGCTGGGGGGAAATGCATTGAGTTACTGGTTTTTCAGTTGCATAAGAAATTTAGGAAAAACAGAACTTCCATGGACATTGATGAATGGTGTGACCGCTTTTTGCAGGCTCTGTTTTTTTTGTTTTTATCCTCCTAGACAAATTAAAAGCGTTAATGGACCTTGACAGTCGACGTACTGTTTTTGACATTGCTACTGAAATTGGAAATTCATATGGAAAGATTGGAAGTATTTTGAAATATGAGTGAAAAATGAAGATGAATTGGTACATATATATGAGAGGATACCCAGGCTTATCTTTTGAGAAAAAAAATTGAGAAAAAGGCAACATTTTGTAGAGTAACGTATTCAAATTGGACATTAGGGTGAGATGATTCTATAACGTGACATGACTTATCAAACTTGACGTAACGTCAAAGTCTCCCCCGGGTTTCACAACAATCCATTTTCAGAAAGCGCGTGTGAACTTATTGGTAATTGGAAAGTGGTGAAATTTTCCAATATTGTTGCTTTATGACTCTATATTATAAATATGCCTGTTGTTTGCTTTCATCAAATCACGATAAAATTTTAGAGAGAAATTCCACGAACTTTTGGATCAACCCTCGTATAATATACCGGTGCATTCTCAAAAAAAAATGTTACATTATATATTTATTGACTGAGTTCGAGGGCGACAAGCGTTTTGTCGGACCCAAGAACCAAACTGTCTGCCTGAGGCCGTTAGGCCGAAGGCAGACAGTTTGGTTCAGGGTCGATGCATTTTGCCCGAGAACTCTGTCAATAAATGTTTTGTTATACCTTTCATTTTATTTTATATTTTTTGACACACATGTATTTTGTACCATATTCCGTAATGTAACATCAGGTCTGTCACTGTTTTACACCAACGAATGAAAATGAGATTAAGCTCCGCCCATTCTGTGACGTAAGCGGTCCAACATCTCTCCGAGCGGTCCAACATCTCACTCAGCGGTCCAACATCGATTTTTTTATGCCCGCTCAGCAAAACATTAAAAATGTTAGACTTTTTTTCGTATAGATTTGTATAGGAACACATTTTTAAAGGTATAACAAAATAAAATATTTTACTCTAATTAATTTTTTTTCTTAATACATGTACATTTTAGGACCAGCTGTACCACAGCCCCGGAACTATGGTGGCAATCCTTTTTTGGGCATCCCTAAAGCAAACTTTCTTCCGCAGCAAGGGCAGACAACTGCACAGCAAGCTTCTCAGCAACAAAGGCAACAACAACAATACTTAATGATTGGAAAAAATGGTCTATCAGCACCAAACCAATATGAAGTTTATACGCCATTTCAGCAGCAAAGCTTTAATCAGCGGAAGACAATCACTTCAAGTATGATTATTTGCATTAATTAATTGATAGCTAATTAAGATTTTGAAGTCAAACAAATAGTTTTTTTTTCCATTTTTGTGTATGAATCGTACTGTGAGTCTTTTTTAAGTAATAATAAGTCTATTTAGCCCAAACTGTTGGGTTTCATTAATTTTCAGCATTTTTAGAATTATAGAAACTTATTTATTTCCATATAATTTAGTATTGTATCTTTCAGGTTTTCTGGTTTTAAGTCTACTCGTATGATATTATGATTTATTACACACTTAGTAATAAATACAGTTTTGCAGGGCTGATAAAGCTATTGTGACGTCAATATCACACCCTTTGTAAATTAAACCACAAATACAGTACTTGTGATCATACACAATTTTTGGTGGGTTCATATTCTCTTAATTTTAACTTTTTGAAAATAAGATTAATCTTAATTTACAAATACATGTAATAGATTATTTTCAAATTACGGATCAAGGGCATTGAAATAGAAGTAGAAACAAACCTAAATCGTATGAGACAATAGACCATGTACATGTATGTAAGAAGTCCATGCATGATCATTTACTTATTTTCTTTTCAACTTAATGTGTTCTGTATTTTATTACTAAGTATGTAAGAAATATAATAACACATACCTTTTTCCACATCACATCCTGTATCAGCCCTCGTGACACCAGATCAGCCGAAGGCCCTCTGGCTGATATTGGTCGAGGGCTGATACAGGATGTGATATGGAAAAGGGTATATATTATTCTCGATATAAATTGCTATTCTATAAGCAAGTGAAAAAAATATTTGTAGTTAAGTATGACTGGCGTTTTTAAATGATCGGTATTGAGGGGATTTTTTTTTAAAAAGAAATATCCCTCTTATCACAGCAGTATTACTGTGACTCCTCTAACAATCTGTGGTAAAGAAAACTACGCTGTGTTCAGATGTTGAGACAAACTCCGTCACTGGGATAAAATTAATTTTAGTGAACAATTAAATTGGTCAAATAAAAGTACTCTTCTTAAAAAATAACTCAGAAAAAACTAATTTATAAAAGATTTTTAATACTATAAACGATTCAAAATTGTCATGACCCACAGGAGCCGGGAGCCACAACATTTGTCAATGATGTACATAATTTTTTTTTAAATTGAAAAATATTTAAGGACCAGCATTGGTTTCTGATCAGAACTATGGTGTTCAGGATCTTATGGGCTTCCACAGCAGAAACACAATCCAGCGACTAGAGCAGACAACTCCACAACCAACTTCACATCAGCAACAGCATCAACAATGGCTTCAGTACCAACAACAATTCACAAATGAACAAATTGCTTCGCATAAAAATGACGCTTATATGTCAAATCAGCAGCCACACTCAAATCAGGAGTTGAGAACCCCTTTAGGTATGATTTTGTCAATATCAATAATATAGAAAATATCTGTTGTGGCCAGGTTATCCTTTAACACTTTAAAAATGATCTTTAATTATTTTTTTAAGTCTTAAACATTTTGATTGAAGAGCCCAACAACAAGTTAACATGTACGCAGAAGAAGGGAAGTAGCTTTTTTTTTTAAATTAAGCATATTGTGAGAGATCTTCCTAAAATAATACCTGACAGTTTTCACCAACTTTATTCATCTTAAATCTTTACATCCGCCCCTGTCGATCAATTACAGTACTCACCCTAGGCCTCTATAAATGTCTTTGTCAATCAATGCAACACACTGATGAAATGATGTGTGCTCTTTTTCAAAATCCGAAAATGCAGGAAAATCTGTTAAATATTTCCGTGTGTAAAGTCGCTTTTTGAAACATATTTACATGTACGGGGTTCACTGATCTACAAATTCATTGACTACAAAAAAATGGAGGTGGGGATGGAAATGTTCCAAGTATTTATATCTGGAATCAAAATAGAAAATGAAATGTGATTTTGGAAGAATGGTCATTTTACTTGTTTTAATGTTGATGATTTCTAGTACCAACAACATATTATCTTCAAAATAACGGAGCCCCGGCTCCTTGGGGCCTACATCCATTCATCCAGCAAGGGAATACGACACAACAACCAGCTCTACAGCAACAACACCCACATCAGCAACATCAGTATCGCCAACAGCACCTTATGAAGGGACAAAATGAGCAATTGACACCACACACACCACATCGGAATGATTTTTCTATGCCTTATCAACGGCCAAATTTTGATCAGTTTATTACAACTCATTCAGGTATGACTTTTACAGCGTTATTTGATTGAATGGGTTTTATTAAAAGAGTTTATTGTTACAGGCATCTTTACTTGTATTCATAAATATTTTCTTAAGATTTTAGACTTAAAACATATTAGCAATAGAAGACGTCTTTGATTACAATGAGATTTTTGGAGCAATGGATATCTTAATTTTTATTTACTAGTATTCTTTTAAATTAAAAAATCAATTTACTGTTAATTTTTAATTGTTTCTTTTAGATATGTACTATATAAATAAATAAATGAGAAATAAAATCTTTTCTACTTATTTTGGAAAAATAATCCTAAAAATAATATTTTCTCTTGAAATTTTCCACTTTTAATGTACAATGTATCTAGGAGTCTCCTAAAAATACATGAAAAAATTGTGTATGAACACTATACTATACTATAATAGTTTGGTAAACTGCCCATAATTATTTACTTTGTGATTATGTGCATGCAATATTTACTTCTTGATGAACTAGTATTGTTTCTCATTGTATGTATTTTAGAATTAGATCAAAGATGGGATTCTTTAGACTGCAAAACACGACTGCATTTGCCACCCTTAATTCGATTAGAAGGATCTATGGGAAACATGTGCGCCTCTCCTGCTGGTCCTGTAGGAAACATGTCCACCTCTCCTGCTATTCCTATGGGAAACATGTCTGCATCTTCTTCTGTTCATATTGGAAACATGTCTGCCTTTCCCATAAGAAATATATCTGCCTCACCTGTAGATCGTGTGGGAAACATGTCTGCCTCAACTGTAGATCCTAT